GGGCACTGTAGGCGAACTGGACTGATTGGATTGCTTTCAAAGATCTGGCATAGAGGTGGGCTGAATGGCGTCCTGTCATTCTCTGCTTCTATAACCTTGAGTCCATTGCTTTACTGTGGTTCATTAATAAGTTGCACATATTTTTATATAACTTGGAAGAAATGTCTAGATTTTTTTAATGGCAGGAAATTCTGTAGCTCCTGGTGGAATTTTGTGAATATTTTTACCTAGCTAGACCTATGAAATATTTTAATTTTGCAATTAAATAAATGGGAATATGTTTCAGAATCTTGTGTAACATTTTATTTTTAGGTGGATCCGTTTCCCATTTGTTAAACAAGTACGGTGCTTTCAAAGAACAAGTTATTATTAATTACAATGAGCAGCTGCTGCGTGGCCTAGCTTATCTCCATGAGAACCAAATTATCCACCGGGATATCAAAGGTAAAAATGTATTTATCTATGGCTAAGACAGAGTTAAAAAGCAAATGGATAACATGAGTGGAGGACCTGCTGTGAGCAACCATACTTTTGAGATTCTGTCACAGGAGAGTAAGGCCATGATCTTTTACTGATCTTTCAAAAAAGAAGCCTTCAGAATAAAAACCATATCCAATAAATATGTTTGCACTTTAAGCATACATGCCTCCCTTCAGTCACCAAGGAATTGGGTCTCTTTGGAATGTTTATGTGGCATTCAAAGAGAATGTTTGTTTGGGGTTGTAACTAGGGAAAGATATTTGCTCCATTTCCTGATTACTGGTACTAACTTGAAGTATTTGGTTTTCTAGGTGCCAATCTGCTAATTGATAGTACAGGACAACGACTAAGAATAGCAGATTTTGGAGCTGCAGCCAGGTTGGCATCAAAAGGGACTGGTGCAGGTGAATTTCAAGGGCAGCTGTTGGGAACTATTGCATTCATGGCACCTGAGGTAAGTTTACATGCTGTAAACTTTTTTTTTAAATACCTTTTATATTCATTGTACTATTTTTGCTGTTCATGGTAGTTATTTGCAATCATAATCTATTGAAACTGGTTATTGGAGTTTGACTTTGCAAAAAGAAAAGGCTTAAATATAACAATAGCCTGTATTAATTTGGACAAAGCACAAGGTTTGCACCCAGCAACTTCTCTTGAACGGATGTTAAATGCTTCCTCCAAATCATCCATTTTTACAGATTCTAAGACAATATTGCAGGAACCTTTGCATTTTCTACGTTTTGGAATGTGTCCTTATTTGAAGGGCAAACTGTATTTGATTGAACAGATGGACATGTCCTCTGTTTTCTATATCTATCTTTTCTCCCTTGTATCTTGAATTTGATTCTGCCATGTACCACTTGCTCCTGGGCAAATTGTAATTTCTGAAGGAAAATAATTTCTAATTTTATGCAAAATCACCAAATACAAAAATAATTGAATTGGACTGGGAGTTCCATTGTAAAAACATCACTATTTCCTATACAATACATTGAATGTGTTAGAATTTGTTTGAACTATATAATTTAGTTGAGTTGAAGATTAGCAATTCATTCTTCATTCTTCATTCTTCATTCATCAAGAATGCAGTGTTACGAATGCATTGTAACACAGGTTTTTCATGATCTAGTCTTTTTCTTTAGATGCTTATAGAAGTCAGCCCTGGAACAGTTAATCATATTCTACATTGATTCTATTCTTCTTTTTAAGGTGTTAAGAGGCCAGCAATATGGCAGAAGCTGTGATGTGTGGAGTGTTGGTTGCGTTATTATAGAGATGGCCTGTGCCAAACCTCCTTGGAATGCAGAGAAACACTCTAATCATCTTGCTCTAATATTTAAGGTTGGTAGATTTGTGGCAAGTTGTTTAGGCAGGCAGCATGGTGGCACAATGGTTAGCACTGCTGCCAATACAGTACCAGGGACCTCGGTTCAGTTCCAGCTTTTGGTGACTGTCTGTCTGTGTGGAGTTTGTATGCTCTCCCTGTGCCTGTGTGGGTTTGCTCTGTGTGCTCCGGTTTCCTCCCACAGTCCGAAGATGTGCAGGTCAGATGGACTGACAATGTTAAATTACCCCATAGTGTTCAGGGATGTGCAGACTTGATAGGTTAGCCATCGTAAATGTGGAATTATGGGTTTAGGGTGGGATGCTGTTCAAAGGGTCAATGCAGACTCGTTGGGCTGAACAGCCTCTGCACTGTAGGGATTCTATGAAATATAGAAAGCTTGTTTGCATCTGAGAGCGTGCATGTGTTGCAATAGTATGTTTTGAGTATTGAAAATTGTTCATACATCAGACTGTTATTACAAACCCACAATATGCACTTGTCTCTGACAATTTACACTGAGTGAGTAAAACATTTTTAAAACTCGAATTAAAAAAAGTACAGTGTTCAAATTGAGGATTATGCTTTTACAGAGTCTTACATTTGTACATAATTCTACAAATTCTTGCACTTGCTGTCAGTTGTAGTTTACTACTAATTAGGTACATTATATTAGTCCATTTTCAAAAGATGTTAAGGAAACTGACTATTGCAACAATTTCTAAATTTTGTATCTCTCAAAATTCAATAGATTGCCAGTGCAACGAGCGCCCCAACAATTCCAAACCATTTAACCCCTGCATTGCGCGACGTGGCTCTCCGGTGCCTGGAACTTCAGCCCCAGGATAGACCCCCATCGAGGGAGCTTCTGAAACATCCAGTCTTCCGAACGTGGTAATGGATACAATTGCAAATAAAAGCTGTGCAAGACAAAACTACTGAAACAAAGAAAATGCCCAGGTGTTGTCCTGCAGTGCACTGTAGAGCTGTATAAATGGGAGAACTGGCCTCGGGTTTGAAATAAAAGCAGCAAAGGCCAAAAGGAGCCTGTCTCTCGGTAAACAGCTGTCAACACATGGACAAAATAGTATGCAAATGTCTTGTTCCTGCTTGTAAAGGTTGTGCCTTCTTATTGATCAGATTTGTCACTAGTGCCCTGAAATATACTTGGATCTGCCAGTTAAAAGCTGTAGAGCAGTTTGGAAGGACATTCTTCTGTCAGAGCACTTTTTCGGCAAATACTAGCAGTTGAGGGGCTCCTTTGAGGTTTTGCAGTTTTTAAACTGCCACTGGTTACAGGCTGACGTAAAGTTTAAGGATATATTCAAAGCACCAGATTCTCCCTGTCTCTCATATTTCGTATTTACGAAATGATTCTGAAAAAGGGTTTTCTGGATTTAATACTGAGATGTTTTGGGGTTCAGTTTCCGCTCTGGACACAGTTGGCAATATGGGCAAAAATTGCGCTAGTTTTCCAAAGTTTTCACTCAATTCATTTGCATATTGCCAAATGTAAAATCTTGCATGAACCAGCACAATTGGGCAAAGTTCTTCAGAAAAAAAATTGCATTTAAAAACAAAATCCTTGATTGTATGATATTCTGATGGAGTTTTATTAATACAGCTGAAAATAGGTTTATCACAAAAAGTAAACATTGTGATAAGTAATCACTATCTTTTTAAGTAATTTGATTTTCAATCACTGAAAATGACTTTTAACAAGTGTACAAAACCAGTTTACAACAGGTGTATATAACTAAGCTTTTTAGTAAATTAAGTATTGTTAAGGTTTAAAATTTTCTGAAGATACCCATTAGTGCCCTTGCACCAAAAGAGAGCTGAATTTTAAGGGCCTAAGTGGGCAAAAAGTGCAAAAACTTGCTGCAGTGATAATTGAGCCTACAGGGATGGTTAATTTTGCAGACCAGGCTGGCTTCCAGCATTGTTTCATAAATTAGCTCAAAAGGTTATGGAAACTCTACTTTCATTTAAGATTCCTTGATCTTTTGTGCTGGTTTTATTGATTTTTGACAAATTACACTGAGGAAAACCAACGAGGCGGAAGCTCTACTCTTTAACATGTTCACTGGTCCACTTAAGTACTTGATTATAAGGTTTTTGCTGTGGAAAACAGTGAAGTTAGAATATCATCCAAATTGATTGGACAATTTACTACAAAGGTGCCTGCTGTATTTTTGTCCAGTTTCAATGAACGGGTCATTTTACTAGCTGTTATAATTAAAAGGAATTTTGTGGTATCCACTGAATGACTTAAATTGTTTTAATATTCAGGGAAGGGTAAGTTGTGAAACCTATTTTCAAAATGTATTTGTAAAACTTTTGCCATAATTCAGCTGTTTTGAGTTAGTTATTTACTTTTTTTACAGTTTGAAGATATGTACTATTTTGTGTAAAATGCTGAAAAGATTACCTTTACATTTCCAGTATGACACCATTACTTGTGCCTGTTACAAAACTTGTAGGGTAGTAACTGCTGTTTAAATCTGTCACTCAGTTAGTTTACTAATATTGAGCAGCAGCCATGCCAGAAAGTTCCTGTTATGGCTTCATTTGTGCTACTGTCTTTTGAAGCCTTCTATTCAATTTTAAAACATTAAACATTTGTATTCGGTTTGAATTTTACTTTTGTTTGCTGCTGTAAAATTCTGGAATCTTTGCAAAAAAGTCTTATTGCCTTTACCTTTTAACAAAACAAGTAGAACAGCAAAAATGTTATATTCAAAGCTTAGTTTGCAGTTTTCCTTCAGCAAAAGGTTTAACTCACTGTTACCATGTTTCTTACAATACATTGTTTCATTTTTTGCAGAGTAGCCTACAGTGACCAATTTTGGATAGATGTAACTTAATACAATATCTTGAAATCTTACTTGAAATACAAGCATGTTTCAGAATTGCATGCAAGACTGATAAATTGAGTTATTGGTGTTCACATCACCTCTGCTTCCTTAAATCGAGAGGGGAATTTAAGTTTGAATCAGACATTACTTTAATGACTATTTCTGAAATGTGAACTTTAGGTTAAACTCTCCTGTTTTATGGTATTTGAATGTAATATTTTAATGTTGACACAAGTTTGTCCTTTAAAGAAAGGACATAATATTGCTGTATGTGATATACCACATTGGATTGAAAACAAATGAGCAAAAGAAATAATTTGCACCAACTAATGTATAATTTTTAAGTGACAAGACAAATTGATTGACCTATTCATATGCTAAGTCTAGATTTCAGATTCATACTTGTTAATACTGAAGGAAAACAATATTTGCTTTGACCTTATTCGGTTAAATCTTAATATTTTGTGTTCTGTGAATTGGCTAACTGTTAAAGCTTACATCCTTTAGACATTTTAGTTTGGGAATTTTAACTCTTCCAGCAATAAGTCTCATTGTCTTTACAGATTTTTAATACTTGTTATTTCCACTCTATGGTAAGTCTAGTAAATTAAAATGTCAAATTGATATACATGAAAATGGGGTTTCTGTCCCCATAACAGTTTTGCAAAAAACTGAACATAATGTGAACCCTCAGTGTAGGTGTTAATTTTTTAAAGAATGTTTTAATATTATATCACATTCCTCATTGGTTAAAAGGTGCTGTTATTGCTTGAAGAGTTAAAGATGTACAGAGATGTTTGTAGCGTACTTCATAGCAGTGACTCCTTAATTTATTGACAACCTGGAATCATATTTTGTGGTCCTTTTTCACGTCAATAAGTCTTTTTTTGAACAAGTGTTTTTCCTTGAGCTTTAAATGATGCACTCTTGCCATTTATACTGGAAATGTTTTTGTCAAATTTTCACTTCCTGACAAAAACATTAAACTGATGAACCTCGGCTAATCAGTATTACTTTGTAGATCTCAGCATCTGCTTGTTTAATAAGCCGATGCTTTTTATTATCAAGTTGCATTTTAATTGGGGTTGTTTGCATTACCCTCAGCTTGCTGGTAATAGTGATGTATTTTGTGTAATTTTTTTATTTTATGCATATGTGATGTAATATTCATTCTTTGGATCAGAGCTGGACTGAAAATGTAATGTAATTATTTGTGCTGTTCTTATTATTATGTTATTTGGTACTTCTTAAATTGTAAATAACGTCTACTGCTGTTTTATTCCAGTTTCTACTACCTCAGGTGTCCTATAGTTTTCTTCTACCAAAGTACACTTTCACAATGAAACTATATTTGCTATGTGACTGTAATTTCTAAAACTTCCAGGGCTTAAGGGCTAACTTCTATTAGCACCTTACTGTGCAAGCAAATTTTTAAAAAAGAAAATCTCTGGGGTTGAAAGATTGGTTAATTGTATCCTTTGTAATTTTAAATATATCAAATATTTTAATTATTGAAATTTTTACCCCATTTTGAAACATTTTATAGCATAATTTGGACCTATTTTGGTGTTTTTGTCTTTCTAGTAAATAAAAGGTTTTTTGGAACAATTTATGATTGTTGTTTTTCTCTTCACACAATGATCTTGTATGTTCAGTATATGAAAAACAACATCCAGACTAAATGGCTTAAACAATAAAACTTATACAGAGTTATGTTAGCTGTAATGGTTGGTTATTATATAAATTAAACTAATGTTGGTGCTAAAAAGTTTAACTTCATTAACTGCTGATGTGGGGACAGTCTTAAGAAGCTGTACTTGTATTTATTCCAAAAAGGCATTAAAATAGATCATCTGAAGCTAATTACTTCTCAAAAGCTATACTTCCCTCGATGACTTTTCTTTTAAAAATTAATCACACTGACTCATGGCAGATTTTGTTTTGTTGATACACTGAAATGAGTCAGTAGAAATCTGAGCAACAACAGTTTTTCTGAAAACAAGCACATCAATAAATCTAACCCTAAATATTTTTGATATCACCAATTGCTCTAGCCACTGTTTCATACAATAGGCCTCTTCATGGACGCTACTATAGGTCAACTTCTTCCATGAATAATGTTATTGTACATATAACAGTTATTCAGAGTCATACAGCACGAAAACAGACCCTTTTGGTCCAATGAGTCCATGCCAACCATAATCCCAAACTAAACTAGTCCCACTTGCCCATGCTTGGCCCATTTCCCTCCAAACATTTCCTATTCATGTATTTATCCAAATGTCTGTTTACCTGCATCCACCACTTCCTCTGGAAGTTCATTCCAGACACGATCCATTCTGTTTCAAAAAAATGTGTCATGTCTTTTTAAAATCCTTCTTTTCTTAACTGAAAAATATGGCCCCAGTCTTGAAATCCCCCACTCCAGGGAAAAGACACCTGCCAGTCACCTTGTGAGGGCACACTAATTTAGTCAGGATAGATCACATGGGATTCAACTGGACACAAAATTGGCTCATGATTTTATAAACCTCTATAAGGTCACCCCTCAAACTTCTACACTCAAATGAAAAAAAAAGTCCCAACCTATCTAATTTTTTTTTGTAACTCAAACCTTCCAATCTTGGCAACATCGTAGTAAATCTCTTCTGAAACCCCACCAGATTAATATCCTGCCTATAACAGGGTGACCAGAACTGGACACAGTACGCCAGAAGAGGCCTCACCAATGTTCTGTACAACCTTAACATAATGTCCTAACTCCTATTCTCAAAAGGTCTGAGCAGTGAAGGCAAGCATGTTAAACACCTCCGTAACCACCCTGTCTATATGTGACACAGACTTCAAAGAATTATTAATTATGAACCCTAGGTGTCTCTGTTCAACAACACCACCAAAGACCCTATTTTAATTGTATAAGTCCTACCGTTGTTTGTTTTAACAAAATCCAATGCCTTGCATTTATCCAAATTAAATGCCATCAGCCACGCCTGTTGACCCAATTAATCAAGATCTCTTTGTAATCTTAGGTAACCTTCACTGTCCACTATACCACCAATTTTGGTGTCATCCACAAACTTACTAACTATATATCTTCGATGTTCTCATCTAAAGCAGTTATATAAATGATAAACAAAAGTGGACGCAGCACAAATCACTGTGGAACACTGGTGGTAACCAGTCTCCAGTATGAAAATCAATCCCCCACCGTCGTTCTATCTCCTGCCGTTAAGCCAATTTTGTGTCCAATTGAATCCCATGTGGTCTATCCTTACTAAATTAGTGTGCCCTCATCAATTTTCTTGGTTACTTCCTCAAAAACATCAATCAAGTTTGTGAGACATGATTTCACTCGCACAAAACCATGCTGACTATCCCTAATCATTCCTTGCCTCTCCAAATATGTATAAATCCTATTTTGCAGAATCACTTCCAACAACTTACCCACCACTAAAGTCAGACACTGAGGTCTATAGTTCCCAAGCTTCTCCTTGCATTCCTTTTTGGACAAAGAGACCACGTTAGCTACTCTCCAGTCATCCTGCACCTCGACCATTGTTACAGATGATATGAATATTTCTGCAGAGGGGCCCCACAATTTCCCCTCTAACTTCTCTCAACATCCTGGGATATACTAGATTGGGTCCTGGAAATTTATCCACCTTTTATATTTTCTAGGATCTCCAGCATTCCTTCTGTAAAGTGAACTGTTTTCAAAATATCAATATTTATTTCCCTGTGTTCTCTAGCCTTCATTTCTTTCCCCACAGTGAAAACTGATGCAAAATAGTCATTTGATATCTCTCCCTTCTCATTAGATTCAACACAATGACAGCCTCTTTGATCTTTAAGGGGCCTTACTTTTTCTCTAGTTGCTCTCTTGCTCTTAATGTATTTGCAGAATCTCTTTGGATTCTCCTTAACCTTATTTGAAAAAAATCACACGTTTATTTTTGCATTTTTGACTATAAAAGAATCATAAATGAATCAAAATAAAAATCTTACATTATTAAATTGTAATAACTAAGAAATCTAGAAGTAAGCCTGCAATCTCAAATAGCTGCAGGATCCATGCTACTCTGAGTCCACCAGTGCTGTCTTTATACAAGTCTTTCTACCTTGCCTTGTTCAGGAGACAACGGAATTAATTCTTTCATTTATACTGCATGTCTTCTCCAACAACAATGCAGATTTCTGATAGCTTGATGAGTATATTGTTTTGTGCATCATAAAAGATTGTTTCCTTGTACAGTGCATGTTTGACATAGACACCAGTTCTAAGGTGGATGGGTGTGCTGAAACTGGATCCTTATTAACCAACATAGAGATGGCTTTGTGTTGAGTGTACAAAAGTTGACAACTTCATGTGCCTTAGCACACAATGGTAAGTTGCACTCCAGTGCTGGAGGTCGGCAGGAGAGCACAGTTCGTTTGCGTTTACCTAGACCAAACATCTGGTGATTAGGATTGATGAGAATTTCTAGTATTCCAAGTAAAAGTAAAGCCTTTAGTTATTGTTTGGGTTTCTCATCATTTTTCTCTTAAAAACATAAGGTTGATATTAGTGCATAAAAAAGAAAAGAACATTAGCAGTGTTAAAAGCAGGGATAGTAGATAATTGTTTACTTAATAAAACAGTGTCTGCTGACACCAACTTTATACTAATTTCTGAATGCATGCTTACGCCCATTCTTTTTAATGGACTGCATGTATGTACACACCAAATGAAATTAAATTTAATAAAGTTGTTTTTATAGTTTTTAATTATTTTTGTTTAAATTTTTTTGTATGTGTTTAAATATTTTCATAAGTTTAAGCCAGATATTTTGTTGCTACTACTCAAGGACTCCTAGTGGGGGAAAGGGGGTAGCGAGGGCCCAGGGATGAAGGTGTGGGGACTTGGTGACCAAGAACCAAGAACGCACAGGAACAGGCCTTTCGGCCCACCAAGATTGTGCCGATCCAGATCTTCTATCTAAACCTGTCGCCTACTTTCCAACGATCTGTATCCCATTCATGTATCTGTGTAGATACATCTTAAATCACGCTATTGTGCCTGCCTCTACCGCCTCTGATGGCAACGCATTCCAGGCACCCACCACCCTCTGTGTAAAGAACTTTCCACGCATATCTCCCTTAAACTTTTCCCCTCTCACCTTGAAATCATGACCCCTTGTAATTGAGTCCCCCACTCTGGGGGGGAAAAAGCTTCTTGCTATCCACCCTGTCTATACCGCTCATGATTTTGTAGACCTCAATCAGGTCCCCCCTCAACCTCCGTCTTTCTAATGTAAATAATCCTAATCTACTCAACCTCTCTTCATAGCTAGCACCCCCCATACCAGGCAACATCCTGGTGAACCTCCTCTGCACCCTCTCCAAAGCATCCACATCCTTTTGGTAATGTGGCGACCAGAACTGTACACCGTATTCTAAATGTGGTCGAATCAAAGTTCTATACAACTGTAGCGTGACCTGCCAACTCTTGTACTCCATACCCTATCCGATGAATGAAAGCATGCAGTATGCCTTCTTGACCACTCTATCCACCTGTGTTGCCACCTTCCGGGTACAATGGACCTGAACACCCAGGTCTCTCTGTGCATCAATTTTCCCCAGGGCTTTTCCATTTACTGTGTAGTTCGCTCTTGAATTGGATCTTCCAAAATGCATCGCCTCGCATTTGACTGGATTGAACTCCATCTGCCATTTCTCCGCCCAACTCTCCAATCTATCTATATTCTGCTGCATTCTCCGACAGTCCCCTTCACTATCTGCTTCTCCACCAATCTTAGTGTCATCTGCAATCTTGCTAATCAGACCATCTATACCTTCCTCCAGATCATTTATGTATATCACAAACAACAGTGATCTTAACATGGATCCCTGTGGAACACCACTGGTCATAGTTCTCTATTTTGAAAAACTCCCTTCCACTACAACTCTGTCTCTCCTGTTGCCCAGCTAGTACACCCTGGACCCCATGCAACTTCACTTTCTCCATCACCTACCTACTTATCAAACGCCTTACTGATGTCCGTGTACATGACATCTACAGCCCTTCCCTCATCTATCAACTTTGTCACTTCCTCAAAGAATTCTATCAAGTTGGTAAGACATGACCTTCCTTGCACAAAACCATGCTGCCTAAGCCCATTTTCTTCCAAATGTAAATATATCCTATCCCTCAGTATCTTCTCCAGCAGCTTCCCCATCACTGACGTCAGGCTCGCCGGTCTATAATTATCTGGATTATCCTTGCTACCCTTCTTAAACAAGGGGACAACATTAGCAATTCTCCAGTCCTCCGGGACCTCACCCATGCTCAACAATGCTGCAAAGATATCTGTTAAGGCCCCAGCTATTTCCTCTCTCGCTTCCCTCAGTAACCTGGGATAGATCCCATCCGGACCTGGGGACCTGTCCACCCTAATGCCTTTTAGAATACCCAACACTTCCGCACCCCCCCACCCCCATGCCGACTTGACCTAGAGTAATCAAACATCCGTCACATCCCTCTCCTCGGTGAATACTGACACAGTACTCATTAAGAATCTCACTCATTTTCTCTGACTCCTCGCATAACTTTCTTCCTTTGTCCTTGAGTG